AGTTAATGGGAAGGCACGTCTTAATTTTAAATAACTTAAGGGGAGACACATCCTAACTTTCAATATTAAGCTTGTAAAAATGCTAATTGCTAAATAAATTATAACGAACAGTAATAATACTAAAAAATTAAGATTTTGAATTTGAAAAATTTTGATACTACCTCCAGTAAATGAAATTTTTGGGTATTATTTATGATATATAAATAATTTTAAAGTTGCACATAATTATCATTAACGGATGTAATATATAGTTGTATCATAAAATTGGCATTGAAAATTATGAAAGAGTTACAGACCTGCGAATCCATGGTAATGACGACATAAGGGTCGCTGCTAGAAGTGTCGCGAATAGCGAGGCTTATGCCTCGACGAACCTTGATTCTTAAGAGCCCTTTAATGGCGTCCATTTTTGGGGGATTATTCTCTCCTCAAAATTACAGTATTGAATTGAAAATTGAGGAGAGAAGAAGTGAAATGCGAAAGAAATAAAGGAGAAAAAAATGGTGGCATATATAATGTAAGCATTTTTGGAAGAGATAGCGAAAATTTTGGGTTACAACAATGGGAATTTGGAGGATAGTCATCACATCATCATCATTTGCTTTTTATTAGGAAGGCTATTAAAGGATAAACTATTGGGATGTTGGTATGTTGTGCAACATGTATAAGCTAACTAGGATGCTAATGTGGCATGTATAAGCCATGTTCACTATACCTTAAGAAAAATACTACCTTCGTTTTTTTTTAGTTGACACGTTTTGACTTTAGCATTATTCACATACTTTTCTTTAACCGTATTTTATGATTTATACGTAATGAATATAGTCATGTGAGGTCTTGTTAGATTCGTCACGATATATATATTTTCAAAAAAATCAACTTTTTATAATTTTTGGTAATTGGATAATAAAGATATTAACGATTGAATTTGTGCATTGACAAACGTGACTAAAGAAACTTGTCAACTAAAGTGAAACGGAGGAAGTAATATTCAGTAAAAATAATTTCAGTTTAGTAAAAATAATTTCAGTTCAGTGTTCAGTAAAATTAATTTCAGTTTAGTACAGTAAAAATAATTTCAGTTCTGTAAAAATTAGTAATTTAAATAAGAAATATAATAGAAAATCAATAAAAATAATTTCAGTTCAGCAAAAATAATTTCAGTTCAGTAAAAATAATTTCAGTTCAGCAAAAATAATTTCAATTCAGCAAAAATAAGGTGAAGTAAACAAGGCCTAAGCTAACTAGGATGCTAATGTGGCGGGGCAAAGTGATAATTAAAAGTTAGAAATAAAATACCTTAATGAATAAAATTAATAAACTCAAAAACAATCTAAGGAGAACTCATGCATGGAGTTGCCCATGAGAAACTAGGACTAAGAGAATCGAAAGCGAACATATAAAAATAATGAAAAGCATAAAAGGCATGAGTATTTATAATTTCCTAAACCTAATCTAAAAAAATTAAAGAAAATCAATCACTCAATCAAAGTCTTAATCTCACAAGAGGGGTTAGCTACATGAACCAAAAGTTATTATTCCGTATTATTTTGTATAGTCACCCACAAAAAACTTCCTCCTCCATCCCTTTTGATCAAGTACCATATTATCATGCATGCAAATCCATATGTTTCATATCCTTCCTAACTCCTTCCAACCAAGTCATTTTCGATCTCCCACTACTTTATTTAACCTCTCCATGATCTCACTCTTCCACTCTCTGTACCGGTGCACCCTGGGGTCTCCGTCTTACATGCCCGAAACAACACAGGCGATTTTCCCTTAGTTTGTCTGCAATGCTTGCAACACCCACTTTATTGAGAATAACTTCATTTCTGATTCTATCTCTTATAGTGCTCCCGCACATCCATCAACATGTGCATGTCCGTAACCTCCATCTTTTCAATGTGCTCTTTCTTATGGATTATGGCTGTCCTATAGAATTTCCTCTTCAAGTGTAAAGGAATGCTTCGGTTACATAACAATGTCATGGCCGCTCTCTATTTAAGTCACCACGACTTAATCTTGTGGGTCACGTCTTGATCAAAGTCACCACTTTTCTGGATGATCGACCCAAGATATTAAAAATACTCACTCATGGTCAAATCCTTTCCGTCCTAAAAATAATTAAAGAAAAGAAATAAGAAAATAAAGAAGTACATAAGCATAACAATTTGTTGAACGCCAATGACGAGGCATCGATAATGAGCTAGCTCGCAAGATCTGCGTGTCTAGCGGGTTGCGGGCACTGCTCGTCCTGTGAGGGATTCGTCGATTGGGGCGTCGCTTGCAGATGTTGCGGGTGCAGCTCGTTCTACGGGAACATGACAGTTTTGCATATCTCTTATTTTAGGAAGTGTATATAGATGTTGACCTATCGTTGGAAAGATCTTCAAGTCTAATTTCCAACCCAATTTGAATAATCTCGATCTGATTTGTAGAACTCAAGTTATGATCAAAAGATTGAACAAAGGTCATTTTTTACACTTTATAAACCATAGTTTTTCTTCGTTTCTAACTCAAATCCATTCCCGAAAGGTGCATACCGACTCTTGTGTTTGCTATTATTATTCCTCATGCATATAAATCTTAACCTTAGCTTCCACAAGCACATATCTTTTATTGAACGACCTCAATTCATCGACGTTTCATCCTTTCATTATCTGATTCTTCCAAAACCACTCCGGAAGCATCCAAATAATTATGAAAACAATCTTAAACATTAAGAAAATACAAACAAAGCGTAATACACTAAATAGACAACTAATGAAAATGCGACCTAAAAAGCGACTTGAAGACCTAAAATGCATCTATAATAGTAGCATAAACATGCCTATAAATTCTATATAAATATGATTGAGTATATACTAGTAATATTACACTATGATAAACTAGCAGTGTTAACGACATGTCTACAATTCAGTTTGCTAGACCCGAGCGTAGCCAGGTCAAAACACTTTGTATAAGACGGTTAGACATGGGAGCACAGCGCAATGCATGTGCAATGTTGTGCATTTATATTCAATACTGAAGTTCCTGAGCTTATTCGACTAAAGTTAACTAAAAGTTGCACTTGCACACAAGAATAAAAACTCAGTCTAATTTACAAACTTAACACATAAGAAAACTCAGAAAAGGGAGAGACAGAAAGAGACAAGCACAACCAAGTTAAAAACTGGAAAATTTTGACTTTAACCACCTACAAATAACGACTTTATTGAATTTACCACCTCCAAAAAAAAAGATTTACTTTACCACCTCATAAAAAAATTAAACATCAGTTTTCCCACCTAAGCCTAACTCTGGTGACGGAAACCACCAGTGGGGCCCGCCATAACAGCTAGTTTTTGAAATTATCCCCAAATTCTCTCGATTTTCCTCCTATTTAAACAACCTTCTTCATTTCCACATCAAATTGTTGAAGATTGAAGTTTTTTTTTTTGCGATTTTCTTTACAAATCCTTAATTTGGGTAGTAAATGAGCCAAAGTTCATCTTATAATTTTCTTATAGCTTGGTTTTTGGTCTGATTTGTATCCTTAATGGCTTAAGGATTGCAAACAAAAACGTGTTTGATCTTATAAATACCGAATCCGTGGATGAGCAACAACAATTACTCGTACCTGAGCTGCTTCAATTTCTGTTTCCTGAACCTGATTGTTATATGACAGAGGTTTCAGAAAACAAACGGCGACGAAGAATAGATTCGACTTCTGGAAAAAAATTGTTCTCGTAATTCGGAGGTAGTGTGACTATTTCTACTGCCAAATTTTCATTGAAGTTAATTGTATTTGAACACAATTACCATAATCTAACCCTAATTTTACTACCTAATTGAAATATCAAAAACCCCCAAATTAATTTACACTTACATGAACCCTAATTATTTACAATATGAAATTGGGGTTGAATTAATAACAGAAAACATGCAATTTCAATTATACTTAGCAGTTGTAACATAATCACGCAAACAATTGCAAAAAATTACAACAGAATTCATGAAAATTGCTTACCTTTTCGCTGTTTGTCGTCGAACAGTTCAATTGATTCAGGGCCGAGTACAATCTTCAATAATTTGATAATTTGAGGATGTGGGATTGTTAAGGATCACCCAAAATCAGAATTTGTGAAGAAAATGGCAAAAAAAAACTTCAATCTTCACGAAATAGATGTAGAAACGAAGTTAGGTTTAAATCAAAGGAAAATCGGGAGAATTTGGGGATAATTTCAAAAACTAGCTGTTATGGCGGGCCCCTCTGGCGGTTTCCGTCACCGGAGTTAGGCTTAGGTGGGAAAACTGATGTTTAATTTTTTTATGAGGTGGTAAAGTAAATCTTTTTTTTTTGGAGGTGGTAAATTCAATAAAGTCGTTATTTGAAGGTGGTAAAAATCAAAATTTCCTAAAAACTGAGCACTCAAAACCAAGCTGTAACCAGTGGCGTATCCAGGAATTCCGAATTGGGGGTTCGGAATCTTAAAAAACAAACGATGCTCATATATTAATTAAATATTCAATATATAAGTTCAAATTTTTTATTACAAATGGATGGATTTAACAGTTGCAAAATAATAAATAAATAAAAAATTAAAAAAAAAACCTACAAAAGAATTCTTCAAGTTTTATACTTTGAAAGCGTGCTAAAACATTACTACTTCTATAAATGATAAATCTATAATTATATTGCAAAAAATGAATATTACACGAAAAACAAAAATCCCAAGTCCCCAATAAACACAAATTTGACAATGAATTTTTTTTCTAATTATCAATTAAAAGACCAAGTAAAAATTTTAAATTCTAAGTTTCTAAATTCAATTTGTATGTCAACAATATATCAAAACTAATTAAACAAATCAATAATTAATCTAATTATCACTAATTTACAAACAAATAAAGATTTAATAATTAAGAGGAGTAGAGGAATAAGGGGACTGTTGAAACTAATACGTGCTAAAGGATAAAAACAATAATAATATCAGATTAGTATGAAGCAAGTAAAATAAAGAACTCATAATATTTCTTCATGCTTAATTCACTAAATACAAGAGCCATATATGTAGGCTAACAAACAACAAATAATAAGCTAAAAAACTGAAAGTATAATGCCATGATTAAACCCACTAAATAAACTCATTAACTTCTAAATTCATTTGACTCTCTAACTTAACAAAATGACCAACATACTACTCCTAAAATTATTGAACCAACTATGGACTAACTCATGAAGAACAACGGAAGAAATCAAAAGGGGAAAACAAAACAAAACAAAACAAAGAAATGAGGGTGGCTGGTCTCGAACCCATGATCAAGAGGAGCCTCACTACTCTATTAGTCACTCCCTTACCAATGTACCAAAGTTACATATTTGTTTATTTACTTCACAAAAAAATATTTAACCTTATTTTTTTTTTTAAAAAAAAAAAAATATCAAAACTTATAAATTTTTTTCAAAAAATCTGGGGGTTCAATGAATCCCCTTGAACCCCCCCCCCCCCCCTAAATCCGCCCATGGCTGTAACTCCACTCAGAAGTCGGAAACAGACGCATAACCTTCCCACATCCTCAAGATACAAGAGTTTTAAGATTTTGGAACATCCACCCACTCGATTTGGATTTCTACCTCACCAGTTGCCGCATTTTTAAGCCTGAGAATCATGTCCTGCACTAACTTTCCATCCTTCCAAATGATTTGGCTCACGTCAGCTATCGAATTTTCCCTGCTCGGAAGGATCTTATCAACAACGGTGCCATCTGGGAGATCACATAATCTTGCCTTCAGACATTCTACATATGGTTTTATGTCTATCTGAGCCTCACCCATTAGGTCATCACTAGTAAATGTGTCTTTGTCATACACTGTCTATATAAAAAGATCAATCAGATAACTGCACATTGAAGCATATAATAAGGCAGTTTGTAATTTTTCAGCGTATAGTAATTATCAGTAAGATAACTGATCTGGAAATAGAAATGTATGAAAAATTTAACATATTAAAAATGGTATAATAGATTAAAACAGGTAATCATCCAAAATTATGAACATATTTTGAGAATGGATAAATGATTTCAACTGTAATCTGCTAACATGACTAAATGACACAATTAAGTTCCTACAGGGAGTTGACATAAATATAATACAACAACGGAATAAGGAGGGGGGGAGGGGTGGGGGGTTTCAAAAGATACGAAGATACTCACTAAGTTGATTGGATCATCAAGATCATAAATTGCAAGAGTCAGTTCGTCATTCCATTCAGGATTGCAGTCATTTTTCACATGCCGTGTCTTCAATTTCTGCAGTAAGTTACAATGAAGTTAATAAAAATTACAAATGCATCTGCATAGCATATTAGCATACAATGGAATCATGCTGTCCCAGGAAAAGTGAAATTCTGCTAACTACAGGAAACATATGTGACATATTATGCTGCACAGCAAAAGCTGAAATTCTGCTAAATACTGAAGCAGTATTTGAATGAAAAAAGGTGGGGAATATATGCAAGAGTTACAATACGAGTCCATCAACTAGAGGAACCAACTCAAAGGCAACTCACTAAGGGCAGCAAATAGGATAAAAATGATCGTTCTTTTTACATCTTTTGTACATAAAATTGGAACAGAATTTGAGAGGAAGAGAAATACAGAAGGTTAGCATGCATATTTTGTTACTCATTATTACTAAGAGAATTAAAAAATAGAAATTGGGCCCTAAAAACGTACGGAGCATATTAAAGCTAGAAACCCAAAGTACAGAGCACAACAACTAAGTCAGCTGTTCATGTATTGCTTTGGAGTATTTTGTAGTGATGATGATTAAAGAAAGACATATTTAGGAGTACAGGGAACTTAATGAGAGAGGACTCCAAAAGCTAAAGTTTGCAGCAGCAGCAAAAGAAAGGGCAAGCTGCAGCAGCATACAATCAGAATTCACACCGGTCCAACCCCCAAGAAACCCATACAATCAGAATTCTGTCCTGGTATGTAATCTATCGACGAATTTTGAGGGTCTAATTAAAATTACTGAAGTTTTACTACTTGGCATATGGATTACAAGAGAGTTTAGGAACCATAAATTAATGAAAAAATTAACAACAAAGGTCCCAACTATGGGTGATTTTCTTTAAAAGGTTTCACCTTTTAAATAACCAAAGACAGTCCCAACTATGGGTGATTTTCTTTAAAAGGTTTCACCTTTTAAATAACCAAAGACAGTCCCAACTATAACGATTTCTTCTCAAAATAGTCCAGTATGACATGTTACTCGTTAAACCGGTAATATATTTTAATTACAATAATTTACTCTCAATCTGCCTGCTTTCACGGCATAACCCCACAACTGCTCCTAGTCTTCACCCTCCACACTCCAACCACCAGTCCACCATCCCAATCGTCACCGGCCACCATCATTCTTCTTCTACCTCCAATTATCTCCTTCTCTTATGGTATCTGAGTTGACTCAGTTATAGCCGCTAAAATGGCGGCGATTCTCGCCCTTGATCCATCTCACCTAATCTCTCAAGCTCACTGACGATGAAGCCCGAGCCACGGTTGCGATTCTCCTCCAAAGCAGCTTATCCCTAAATTTTTTTATAGTAAGAACTTTTGATTTTTGCATAATTAGGGTATGTTGGTGGGATTTATGGTGATGATTTTGTAGTGTGGGTGGGTTAGTCCGTGGTCGTTTTGGGATGAGGGTGGGCTAGATGGTATGGTGGTGGTTTCATGTCTTTGTGGTGTGCATCGATTGGTGGTTTTGTTGTGTGGCACGTGTGGGTGGCCTGGTTGGTGGTTTTGTGGTGTGGCTCGTGTGGGTGGCCTGGTTGGTGGATTTGTGGGGGTGGCTTGGGTTGGTGCTTTTGTGGTTTGGGTAGGTTAGAAGGTGGTGATTCTGTGGTGGGGTAGTTGCAGGTGGTTGTTCTAGCACAAGGTGCAGTGTTGGTTGGAAAGCTTAAAGAGGAGGAAATTAAAAAAAAAACCAATGAAGCAACGCCACGTGGTTCATTTAACCGGTTTAGCAGGTAAGTTCAGGTCATGGACCGTTGGAAGAAAATATGTACAATAGTTGGGACTACCCTTAGTTATTTGAAAGGTGAGATCTTTTATAGAAGACCGGTTATAATTGGGACCTTTGTTGTTAATTTTTTCTAAATTAATAGGATATTATTGGGATAATACTTAGTTAACACCATAATATAATTAATACACCACAGGAATTGGAGGACTTTTGTGTTTTTCTCTGCAAAATGGTGTGGCTCGAACTTGACCATATATTCCAGCTCAAAATAATCATTGTAGATCTGACAAATAATGTGTAAAGTATGAAAATGAAACTTGTCGATAAAGCCTCCCTAACTTTGCATAAAATACAACACTAAGTTTTAAGAGTTCGCGTATTATATGACCATTAGAGTGCTACTCGGAAGAGTCAAAATTTGTTTATTACTAGGAAATTATTGGGATAATACTTAATGATCGGTGAAGAGATGTTATAAATTATTGGTATCTAACCAAGAGATGTAAAAAACACAACAGCCAGAATTATATAAACTGAGTTTTTTGGGTTGTATTGGTGGTAGAACTAACTTAATCAACCTCCTTAAATGTATTTGCTAAGGAAATTAGGAACCTAAGATGATAATATAATAAATACTCTTTATTCTATATCCAATCATTAAATCATCCTTGTTCTTAAGGAACTTAGGTGTTGATTCCTATCATGAGAATCTTACATTTGTGACTACATTTAAGTTGAAACTTCACTTTCAAGCTACCACTATCACTCTAAACACATTCTCTTACTATGATGCACGGAAACTCCATTTGGAGTCAATGTTTACATTTCTAACACCTCCAAAACTTGAAACTTTTCCAAAACTTCAACAAAACTTATCCCTTAGAGACATTGTTTGTTAACTAGACAAAATGTTTCAATCATTTCAACAATTAATCTCCTTGTTTAATTTTTTTTGCTCTCACTCCTTGTTTCTTTGTTTATTAAGCTGCACGCGAGCAATATTGCCTCTTTGAAGTAGTTTTTTCATATTGTTTTTCGTTATCCTGTATTTTCTCGAAAATTTGCAATTATGGTATCCCTGTTTCCGTGTTTTGTAATGACATACATCTAATTTGCTAGCCAAAATTAAGGGGAAGATCATCTCCAACAATTCCAGCACTACGAATCACAGTCAATCTAATCAAACTAACTATATGTTCCATTCCATAACATATCTCACTTTGTAGTGTTTGTACTACACCTCCTAATTTTGCATTCCTACAAACTTAAATCACTGTTACATCTTCACCAACAAAAAGCTTAATACTTTATTTGGATTGCAGAAAATGGAAGGAAGAGAAAGGAAGGGGGACAAACTCTCTTGTTTGGATAAAGGATTGAGATAAGGAAGGGAAAGGAGAGGGAGGGATCCATTTTTCCCTCACTCTTTAATAAGCACAATCCCTCCGAAATTGGAAAGATTTGGAGGGAAATGGAGTTTACCCTCCCTTTCTTTTCCCTTCCCTTCCTTCTATTTCCCACCCCTTCCTTTCTTTCTTTATTTGCTATCCAAACAAAACGTAAATTCTTTTACGAAGGTGCTCCAGTTGATTTTTTGATAAACATGGAATGTTCATCATATGGCAAACTTGTAAAAAACTGACTAAAAATTTGCAATATTCATAATAGAACAACTAACACCATTAGAAGTTATACCAAAAATGTACACTAGTCAAGGAAGAAGTGAAGAACCGCTGAATTAGCGTTTTAACAGTGCACTTTTTTACTAAATATTACAAGTTTGTCATCTTGATAAACATGGGTTGTTTATCAAGATGATAAACTTGTATTTTCTCTTTCTTTTGCATTGGAAAAACAAATTAACCAAACCATTACTGAAATTGGTCATTAGATATCGACCAAAAACAACTCAAAAACAGAACTTGGAATAAAAAGGAAACTACTTCGTAATACAGAAGTGCCCCAAGCTTATCACAACTATATACTACTATTTCACCATCTTTTGAAATTTCATTTCCATTTGGTATCAAGGATATTAAATTATAGTTGGACAATGATGTAGGCGAGATTTGATTCCAATCGTCCCAAGACTTTACCAAATAATCCAACCACTCGAATAACCAAATTAAAAACTAAGACAAAATCGTATAATAAAAAATCAATCTGCAAAATCAAGGAAGCGGCCGAAAGGATAGAATACCTGAGAACCCATAGTAATGATAACATAAGGATCGCTACTGGATGAATCCTTGATTACAAGATTGGTACCTTTAATCACTCTAATCTTGAGAAGACCGATTATATTCGCCATTGCCATTATTAATTGTTGTTATCTTCAACCTTTTTACTAAACTCGTGCTCAACCGTCACTATGTTTTTGAGGTTATGAAAAAAAGAATTGTGTGCTCAAGAAATGGGGATATTACAGTTTTGATGGCACTATGCAAACTTGAAACTCGTAGCGGTGTGTTTTGACTTTTTTCTTTTTCTTTTTCTTTTTACCTTTTTAAAAAAATCTAACTTTATGAAAAGGTTTTTTTTTTTTTTTTTTTTTAAGGATTTATGAAAATATTAACAATTCTATCAATATATGTAGCTGGTGTGTGGCCAGCCACCATGTGATTATTCGGTTTATAAGGGTTACTGAGTCAATATAATAAGGGTTAATCTGTCAATATTATATGGGTTATTTCGTGATTTTACAAGCAGAAACACGTTGTGGTCAGCTGCATAGAAAACACATTTTTTTTTAATTGCGATCTCTTTTATAATAAATAAACCTATTTTTTTTTATTGAAAATATTGATGTATATGAGTGTAAGGGCTCCCTAGTTGGATGAGCCACCATTCATCATTTCACATGGTATCAAAAACCAATTAATTTTATTTCTCCAACAAACACCCTAACCCACGCTATGACTTCGTCACCGACAACCTCTACTGTCGATGTCCTCGACACCAGTCAACCAATCCAGACTACCACGGTTTCTACATCCCCGACTGTTGTAATGTCTCGTTTACCTTCGACGATTGGTTTTCTTTTGTCTAGTGACACTTCAGCTGTCGATACTTCTCCCGATTTACCGCTTCCTTACATTGGTGGTAATTTCTCCTGGACGCCTACCAATCCTACTATCCCGAATTGTCGCTTGTTCCCTGATTCTATTTTTGAAATTGGTCAGTCCAGTACAGAAGGTGGGAATCCTCAACCCACTTTTGGTGGTTCGACTTTTGTCTCACGCACTCCACCTGGTTTTAGCACACCCCATGGTGATGTTCCTATTAGCGGCTATAATCCACTCGCTTTGAGTCTTGTTTCGCTTCAAGCTAATACTGTAATCTCCTCTCCTAATTTTAAGAATATAGTCACCACCGTGCTAAATGTTGTTAAGGATTATTTACCATGGAGAACACAATTTGAATCTTTTTTGGTTTCACATGGGTTATTGGGTATGATTTACCATTCCATTCCCCCACCTTTACAATTTGTGTTTGATTCTCAAGGACGTGAAGTCCTTAATTCTGAATATTACGCATGGCTGAATATTGATCAAACCATTCGCTCATGGTTATTTGCTACTCTGTCTCGTGATGGGTTGGTTGAAGTCCATGATTTAAAATTTTCGTGTCAAATTTGGGAGCGTTTACAGACTAGATTCATGAATATAATGCTAGCCTTGCTCGTTCTATGGAATTAAAAAGGATGCTTTCTAGTGTTCAAAAGACTAAAAATCAAACCATGGACCAATATTTGCAAGAAATTAAAATGATCGCTGATTCTCTCGCGGCTATTAACTCTCCTGTACCTCAACAAGACCTTATTCAACACACGGTTCTTTGTCTTGGCATGGACTATGAGTCTCTGGTCACCACTTTAACTCATTTTCCAAGAATAATTACTTTTGATGAGTTACGTGCTAAGTTTGATACAGGAGCAGCGCATAAATTTGTTTAGAGAAGGTGCAACAACCCAGCAACAGCACCAAGCCTTTGACGCTCAAACTGTAGCAGCACCAAGTGGATCTTCTTCTCCCAGCAGCCTTGCCGTGGCTTCATCACAACAACAGCAAGCTCAGCAGCCTTTTCCACGCGGCAGTGGTTCACGTGGGCGTGGTAGTCGCCCTCCTCGTGGCCGTGGGCGAGGCAGGGGGCGCAACAATCCATCCAACAGCATGCGAAGTCAACCCACAAATCAAACACAACCCATAGGATCTACTACAGCATCAAGTAAGTCGTTTTGTCATCTAAAAGTATTTTTGCTTTATCTACTTGTGTATCTCATGATGTCCATGCAGGAAACACTTCGGTTGAGGGGGTGTCCGGCTCTAATCTTCCCATCATATGTCAAATTTGTTATCACCATAGTCATTCCGCTCAAACTTGTTCTTCACATTATGCATCTCAATCTACTCCGGCCTTAGTAACTATGCCTACGGGTGAGACGAATGAGTCTTTGTGGTACCCGGACTCGGGTGCTTCTTCTCATATGACCAATAACGAAGGTATTTTGTCTTCTAAATCTGTTTATCGTGGTCCTATTCATGTTAAGGTTGCTAATGGTACTACTCTTCCTATATCTAACATTGGTGATGCATCTTTGAACTCTTTGGGTCGTCCTTTAACTTTAAAATCAATCTTACATGTTCCTAATCTCAAATACAATCTCATGTCCATTCAAAAGTTGTGTGAGGATAATAATTGTACCGTTGATTTTAATGCTAATTCCTATTCTGTCAAGGATCACAATACAGGGGAGGTGCTTCTTCAAGCTACTAGTAGAGACCGTGTCTATCCTATTTCTATCACCACTCCAACCGAGTCTCCTGTTGCTCTTCGTACTACTACTGGTCCTATTTGGCATCAACGTCTAGGTCACTGTGGAGATAGAGTCTTAGATACTCTTAAGAAGAATAAGGCTATTGTTCCGACCACTAGTTTTGTTCATGATTGTGTGTTTCGCAAATTAGGGAAGTCTAAACGTTTGTCGTTTAAAGATGTAATTTATACTTTTGATAAACCTTTGCAACTTATTCATTCTGATGTTTGGCAATATCCTTTTCCATCTAATATTGGGTATCGTTATTATGTTAGTTTTATTGATGATAATAATAAGTTTATTGATAATTTTCTATAAGCAGGAGTACATTTTAGAAAATCATGTCCGGATACTCAAGTACAAAATGGAGTTGCAGAATGTAAGCATGGTCATCTCTTGGAATTGGCTAGAACTATGCTTATTCAAGCAAATCTAACACTCCATTTTTGGGTTGACACGGTGTACACTACAACCTACATTATTAATTGATTGCCAACTCCAATTTTACAAGGTTTATCACCTAATCAAAATTTATTTCCAAAATCACCTGATTACACTTTTCTTCGTGTTTTTGGGTGTGAATGTTTCCCTAATTTTCCAGCAAAACCATAGAACAAGTTATCTCCTCGGTCAGTTCGTTGTGTTTTTCAAGGCTAATGCACCTCACTATAAGGGTTACAGATGTCTTGAGCCAAAATCGGGTTGTGTCTACATTAGTCGTCATGTCACTTTTCACAAGTCGAGTTTTCCGTATACTACTCTGGTTGGTTCACCTCTTCCCTCTGATCAGGACCCTCGTTTGAGTATTTCTTCTTAGAGTCCAACTCCATTTCCTACTGAGCCTAGTCCACCTAAACCTGTGTTGTCCACAACACAAAGCCCAACACCATGAGGCCCACTTGTGGAAGTCAGATCTAGGTCGCCACAACAAATAGCACAAACCCCTCTTTTAGGTGAGTCCACTACCACTCCTTCACTATCCAAGACTCCTAAAACTCATATTTCACCTGGACCTATTTTTGGCCCATCTTATTCTCCAAGTCCGCATACTTCTCCTGCCAACTCCCTTACTCCATTTTCCCCTCAACAAGTCATACCTAACTGGCTAACTCCAATACTTCCATCCAACATCATTCTCATGCCATGCAGACTAGAGCCAAAAGTGGTATTTTTAAACCAAAATCATTCAATGATTATGTCTATTTTATTGCTATTTAACATCCACCTGATCCTACTTCTTTTTCTCAAGCTTCCAAAGACCCAGGTTAGCATGATGCCATGGCAGAGGAGTTCAACGCCCTTATTGATAATGCAACTTGGGAGTTAGTACCATATGATGCATCGTAAAATTTAGTTGGATCAAAATGGATTTATAAGACAAAATACAACTCGGATGGGATTGTGGAAAGGACTTGTTGCCCAAGGGAGTGGTCAACAGGAAGGTATAAATTTTGATGAGACCTTTAGCCCTGTTGTCAAACCAACTACTATTCGTCTTGTTCTTTCTCTAGCTATTTCTTATGGTTGGACTATTCGTCAACTAGATGCCAAAAAGGCTTTAATTTTCTACATGGTTTTCTTACAGAGGAGGTCTATATGTAACAACCTCCCGATTTTCGACACCCCAATATCCCAATCATGTGTGTCGCCTTTGTAAGGCAATTTATGGCCTAAACAGGCTCCTAGGGCATGGTTTCATCGGTTTAGTAGTTTCTTGTTGCACCAGGGCTTCTTTTGTTGTCAGGATGATACATCCATGTTTATTTTTCGTCGTGGGAAAGATCTCTTATATTTGCTTCTTTATATGGATGATATTATTATTATTACTGGCAATTCCACTTAATTAATTCATCGTTTCATATCTATCCTTGCTAGTTAGTTTGCTATGAAAGATCTAGGTGATCTTCACAATTTTCTTGGCATACAGGTTATGCGCTCTTCCCGTGGTTTGTTTCTGTCACAACATAAATACACCACTGACCTTACTTGTAAATTTCATTTACATACTGCTAAATTAGTGTGTACACCTTTACCTTTCCGGACCACCCTTTCCTTAACTGACGGTGAACTTCTTGCAGATCCATCTGAGTACAGGAGTATGGTAGGAGCTCTACAATACTTGAATATGACTAGACCTGATCTTACTTATGTTGTGCATTTACTCTCTCAGTTTATGCATGCTCCACATACTAGTCACCTTGCTGCTGTTAAGCGTATTTACTCATACCGCAGATCATGGCATTTGGTTTCATCCATCAAAGGACGTATCTATTATCACTGCCTACTCAGATGCAGATTGAGCAGGTTGTGCAGACAATTCTCGTTCCACTTTCGGGTATGCTATTTTTTTTGGGTGATAATTTCATTTGTTGGCGCAAAGAAATAACCAACTGTTTCCAAATCCTCTACAGAAGCTGAGTACAGAGCGGTTGCCTATACGATTGCTGACACCTTGCATATTCGCACCTTATTATCTGAACTTGGTCTTGTGGTTAAACATCCAATTAAGCTTATGTGTGATAATGTTTCTACCACTTATCTTACTATCAATCCAATTCAGCATAAGCGCAACAAGCATATTAAGATAGATTATCATTTTGTTCGAGAGCAGGTTGCACATGGTGATCTTATTGTACGATATGTTCCTACATAGCTTCAGCTTGCAGATATTTTCACTAAGGCTCTCTCTAGTCAGCGGTTTGAATTTTTAAGGGCCAATCTGTGCGTTGTATCCCCTGCACAAATTGAGGGGGCGTATTGATGTATATCTTATATATGGTTATTGATGTATATCCTAGATAGGGATATGCATGTACTTGTACTTATCTTATTGTTTCCTATATACATATATATATGAGTGCTAGGGCTCCCTAGTTGGGTGAGCCACTGTTCATCATTTCACATAAAACATTATTCACAATTTAATTGTATTTTTTTTCTTTAAATGGCCCTTACTCGCAATTCCTACGTTTTTATTTACAACACGCATTCATGACACGCACTTTGAGGAAGAGATTAGATAATGTAAACGGACAAATCAAGAATATTTATACATGTGGTACCTAAGTTTTCTCTAATCTTGGCGTAAAAATTATATTGACAAAATCGCTCATTTACCTACCATAATCAACATTTAAAAGAACGTGCCCAAAGGATGCGTTGCAAATTAATAAAAACAGGGAAAATATTTCTTTTCTCTCGCATCCCTTATTTTTACATAAATTATTCACGCACTATCACTTCTTTTATCATATTTTAATTCCCTAACAAATTAAACTTCACTTGCACAATATTTTAACAAATTCAAATCAACTGCTTACAACTTTGTATGTGTTGGTCAAAGTGTGACAATAAAAAAAAATTAGAATATTTTTGTAAGGTAAAGAGAACACGCTCTAAGTGAATACTCCTTTTTTTTCTATCTACTTTTTGCATAATTTTAATGTAATATTGTAATTAAAATATCTTAGACTACGTACTACAAAGTTGGTTTGAATTTGTTAAAATATTGTGCAAGTGAAGTTTGCTGGTCAAAGTTCCTTAAAAAATAACGTACATATTAAGGTCAAAGTTAGTCAAATCGGACAATCAAACCAGATCAGATAAGATCATACCAGACCAGATCAGATAAGCAAAAATAAAGTTTTAATACACTTTATCGTTTTATGTGCGATTTTTGATCACTAATTATCTTTAATTTCGTAATGGAAAAAATTATGAAAATTAAATATAATAAAATACACATTATTACGAATCTAACAACACCATACTTGATATATTATTTCATTAAAAAATAACATATATATAAGGTCAAAGTTGGTCAAATCAGACATTCAGTTCAAATCAGTTCAGACCATATCAGATTAGATCATACTAGATCAGATCAAATAAGCAAAAATAAGGTAAACTAAACAAGACCTAAGTTTCAATAAGTTCAATAGGGTCTAATAATAAGTTCAAATAATCTCTATCCAATAAGTTTGGATAACTTTAGATAAGTTCATGTCCAATAAGATGAAAAGAATACACCCTTAGAAATATTGTTAATTGTTAAATATCCAATCACAAATTTGATATGTTTTGTTTGTTTATGAAGGAAATAAACTAAGGATTTTGGAGATCTCCCCCCCCCCCCCAAAGTGATAGGGGTTTGATTCCTCATCCCCCATTCATGTGATATAGTGGGGGGCCCACCCCGATATCTTACTATAGACACCTGATTGCGTCTCCCCAAAAAACCAAACCCAGTGATGAGTACCTTTCACGTCTTTGATTATCAAGTTAGGTGAAGAGTTGAAAAGTCTCGTAAAAGCCTTGACCATTTCTAACCTTTCTTTAAATATTTTAAGCCAAAATCATTTATTTTGTGTCTTTAAACCCAAAATCATTCATTTCGTGTCTTTGAAAATCGTTCATTTCGTGTCCACTTTACAAAAACGTCCAAACCAGTTTATTTTGGTCCATAATATGGGTCCAATAATTGTGTAGTTGGATGTGGTTTGAAAAGAGTTTTTCAACAATATATTATAAGACCAAATCCGAGTTATAACGAGGAAGTTATGGCAAAAATACTAAACCGAGCCCAAACCAAACCTTACCTGTGACCCAATGACTATGTGGAGGGTCCATTAACCTTAACCATCATTTCTAAATCCCTTAGGATTTGTTATTAGCTTCTAGTCCTATTTTTGAAAAAATAAAACTTAAGGACTTTACTTCAGATAAAACACCTGTTTTTCAATAAGGTTTAATTCTGATAAAACTAGAATACGTACGGAAATACGATTAACCCAACTTGATTGGATGTTGGATTCCGTACAGATTCTATCTTTCAAATATATCGATGAGCGATGCTTATAGCGCGCCGCGATATAGCTGGCGCTTCGCGATACGATCTGTTTTACTCCAAGTCGAATTCTGACTCTTTTCTGATCTTTTCTCTCGTTTTTCCTTATAAATAGGGGACGTTTTCCTCCGCTTTGATTCACCAACAATCTTCAACAAGCTTGATCACCAACAATCATAATCTTACTCCCACTCTAAGCTAAAAGCTTCTCTCTCTCTCTCTCTCTCTTTCTTAGACTTAGCATAAACACATCACACCATATGTCCTTTGCAAGACTTGAATACTCCAAGCCCTTCTCGTAGTTGTCTTACCTCGACGTGAAAGGTTGATATTTCTGAGGGTTTGGTCCTTAATCTATGTTTCAATTCTTATTTATTTATTTATTTGATTTATTTCTTTCTTGAAGTTACTAACGTGTGTATTGTTTTGATAGAAAGATATACGAGGCATCAAAGTGAGTATATCTACTATCTTTATTCCTTACTTTTGATATAGAAATCATGCTTAAAATATTATTTTAATTCCTAGTATCATGTTAGAATGCTTTTATGATTTCTATTATCATATTAGGATGCTTTTATGATTTCTAGTATCATGTTTAGGGTGTTAATTAATATTTCTAATATCATGTTGCTAGTATCATGTTTAGGGTAAAGCTTTGATTTTTATTTAGTGGCATGCTATGATTTGTTATTAATCCGTTTAGTATCATGCCTAGGATCTTACTAATTATACTATTGATGAGATTATGTTTTATTATTGATTATTGTGATGATGATTTGTTGTGTTAATTATTACATTGCTTGATTATTTATGATTTATTGTTATTGCTTGATTACGCCCTTTTTTGCAGATTTAAAGGGAATTTGTACTTGAAATCACGCCTAATAAGATAATTAATAATTTGATTTTAGGCTAATACGATTTTAATTCTAGTGATCGCCAATAATAGATTTATTTGTGCATTAATAATCAACTAACAAAGATTAAACAGGTTTAAGGCTAACTTGTTGTATGTATGTTGATCGGAAAGCGCACATGAATATCATAAGAATTAAGTAGAGGCCAATTTAGGGCGGGTTCGATCTCTTTTAGGTTGGATTCGTACCATCATCCCCGAATATCCATTCATGGTTCCGTACCACTATGGAGTTAGCGATCTCCGTGATCGTGAATGGGGTATAACCTTCACACCCGTAAACGGTTTACAAGTTCCTAAAACTTGTTGGCGACTCTTTTATCTCTAGTCTTTCCCTTTGGACGTCACCATGTTTAAATACTTGATCATTGTGGGGCTCAAAGTTGATGTTTGAAATATTCCCTACACTTACCGTTAAAAAAATTAAAGGAAATAAACTCAAAAATCCTTTTTATTTGGGTTACTAATCTAATAATAGACCTAAATTTTAATTCATAAATTAATTTGTATTTTATTTCAAACATATGTGAAACCTTGACATGACAATAAAAAATAATAACCGCAAACCATTATTACTCCTAAAATGATTTTGGGTGGATAGATGATTACTTCTTTTTTTATCAAAAATAAATTAAAACGTTTTTTTTCAATAAGATTTGCGCCAATTTGATATGATTTGGTCTAGTTTGAACTTTTGCATTCTAGTTTATTTATTGGTCTGATTTGATGTACAATTTTGACTAAGCATTGACCTTCTTTTTACGGTAATGTATAAGGAATCTATACTAATTATATCATATCATTAATAAATAAAATCGATCTCGCAGCCAAAACACGAGAAAGCGACACTTGACATTTCAATTTTTCGCCAAGTGTCGCGCCACGTAGGCGACAAATAAGTTTTATTGTGAAACATGTGATGCTAATTAAGCGAATTTTGGATAACTTTTTTAAGATAAAATTGTTGTATAGAGTTTTATTATCGATATTTCTAATATTTCATATATACAAAATTAATCATAACTTTTAATAAATATCTTATAACTTAATTCTATTTCCATCATAAAATTTGTTTTAAAAAGTTCTTTATAATAAGATCCAATAATAATATATTTAATTTATTTAAAAAATTAATAGAGAATTAGTAAAATTAAGTTTTAGTAAGTAAAAATAATTTTAGTTCAAATTCAATAAAAATAATTTTCAAGTCAATAATAATGTAGATATCTTATTTTATAGTATTTAAATAACTCGTAAAAAAAAATACTATTTGAATAATCCTTTTTAATAAATTAAATATATTTTTTAAAAAACGTACACTATCATATCATATCATATCATATCACTAATAAATAAAGCCGGTCTCGCAGCCAGGTCACGAGACAGCGACACTTGGCATTCTAGTTTTTCGACAAGTGTCGAGCCACGTAGGCGACAAATAGATATTATTGTGATTAGATTAGATGTCACATTAGATTAGATTGGATAGATTTGTTTAGGATAAAACCAGTATACATAAAATAATTTATAATTCTGTTGAAAAAAAATTTACCTTTTTATTTACAATAAAATTTTACTTATAGCAACACACCACATTAGATTAAAAGCCAGATTAGATTAGATAGATTTGTTTAGGATAAAAAAAAATATACATAAAATAATTTATAATTCTTTTGAAAAAAATTTATCGTTTTATTGACAATAGAATTTTACTTATAGTAGCACACCACATATTATAATTAATATGAATATCCAATTAGCTATATAATTTTACTTCTATGAGAATACCCACATAATTATAATTATAAATATGACCATGTATCATTAAATTTTTTAGTCTACCATTGATTTACCATTAAAGCTTTTGAATCAGGTATTCTTCATATTC